ATGTTCTCGTGGCAAGAACAATATCTCACGAGTGAGCGAAGCGAACGAGTGAGATATTGTTCTTGCCACGCGAACATAAAATTCATATCTTCTCGCCACCGTGTAATATCCTGTATATATGCATGTGTCAGTCCCTCAGAAGTGTCAGAAGGATCCTCTCTCTTGAGGAACTACACAATGTAATCTGTTTATCCGGTCTAGGCCTGCTGCACGAGTCTGGTTGGGCTTTAGGCAATGAATCTAATCAGCAGATCTTCACTACTACTTACTTACTACTACTACTTACTACAACTTACTACTACTTACTAATCAGCAGATCTTCACTACCATCCGTTGCGACAGTCAATGTGCAGTATTTGAATGAGTCGATAACCACTTGCTTGTGATTGAACACGACCAAAACAATACATCAGTTTTATTGTCTCAGTAGTCGTCCATAAAACAGGGGAAGAGGAGGGGGCGCTTATTCGAGGGGAGGCGCTTATTGTAAATTTTGGCCCATAGGTGGGGAGCTTATTCGAAGAGGGTGCTTGGTTGAGGGAAGGAGCTATAATTCGGGAATTTATGGTATATTAGGTAGTTTTGTTTTAATCTTTGCACGTACGCCAAAGTTTCCCTTTTTCCTCTGATTATAAACTGTATCCAGGTGAGGTAACAGTAATATGAAATATAAAAGTAAATGCACTCCTTGTTTACTTCTACATTTGCGCTGGCTTGGTTTGAGGGACAGGAAGTGCTTTGGTGTCTCTTTCTTACAAAATATTTAACACAAATTACAAAGAAAATGTTAAATTCAATACATAGTCACTGTTTTGTGGACCACAAGACTTGAATGAATGCATACACCGAATGCAAATATGGCGGACCGCTCTGTTGGCACCCGGTACGAGTCGCATGCAAGCGAGGCTAGTCAGGCTTTGATGTTTTGTTTTGACATTGCTTCTCCAGAAAAGTCTTGCTTCGTCGTCGATATGGTCTGTTTTTGTTTCGCCCTCCCTATAAGTTGTTGTGCTCCTGAATGGCACCAGAAGGAATTGAAATCTTCCACAGCAGAGAAAGTTTTTTTTTCTTTTTCGTTTCCGCGGTCGCCTCTCAGGGAAAACAGACGAAGGTAAGTAGCTCACGATCGCCGAAGGAACTGTTAAAGTTTGTTCGTTCAGGCTGGAAGATCTTAGGAAATGTGTAAGCAACCGCCGCATTTAGCTCCAAGTCGTTCCGCTCATTTGGCTCAAAGCATTCACTGGATACAACGATGGGGACAGTTGAAGTTCATTCGCTTGATTATTACACCGTGGTATTTGTTTCGTGCGATTCCGTGCGAGTGGAAGCGAAGTCAACTTCTTTGAGACAA